GTGTGTGTGTGTGTGTGTGTGTGTGTGTGTGTGTGTGTGTGTGTGTGTGTGTGTGTGTGTGTGTGTGTGTGTGTGTGTGTGTGTCTTTGTATTTGTGTTGTTGTGTGTTTCCTTTTCTTCTTAATGGTGTGCATCGGTGTGAGTGAGCTTTCTTCGTATTTAATTGTGATGTGTCTTGACAAAAGAAGCGATGGGCAATGTGGATTCAGTTAGTTAGATTTCCTGCATGTGTGTGTGTAGATCACAGAGAGGGAGCTGAGGCCCGGGGGAGCAGACATCCCAGTGTCGGAGAAGAACAAAAAGGAATACATCGAGCGGATGGTGAAGTGGAGGATAGAGAGAGGGGTGGTGCAGCAGACCGACAGCCTGGTCAGGGGCTTCTACGAGGTACTTCAGGTTGTCCTTTTATGATAAGCTTATACTGTCTGTACAAATATGAGTTCATATTCTGATCAAAGTGCATCTGTTTAATGAAATCATCTGATATGTAAGAAGTATAAACAGGTACAGTAGGAAATGGGATCCTCAGAGGCTCTTCATGTTGTCTTCCAGGTGGTGGACTCCAGGCTGGTGTCAGTGTTCGATGCCAGGGAGCTCGAGCTGGTGATCGCCGGCACAGCGGAGATCGATTTATCAGACTGGAGGAGCCACACGGAGTACAGAGGAGGTGAGGAAATAAAGGCACGGCTATTTCATGCTTCTCGAGGGATCCGATTAATGGCTTCTTGATGATTTGATGTGATGTTTTATGTCTAGGTTACCATGACAACCATATTGTTATCCGGTGGTTCTGGGCAGCGGTGGAGAGGTTCAATAATGAACAGAGACTACGGCTCCTGCAGGTACGTGTGTGTGTGTGTGTGTGTGTGTGTGTGTGTGTGTGTGTGTGTGTGTGTGTGTGTGTGTGTGTGTGTGTGTGTGTGTGTGTGTGTGTGTGTGTGTGTGTGGGGGTGTGTGGGGGTGTGTGTGTGTGCATGTGTGTGTGTATGTGGGCGGAGACATGTTCGGACATGCTTCCACTTGAACATATTTTATAGGAAATGACTCAGAATACAGGAAAATACTCTCATACCTCATTATCCAAGTCATTGAAGAAGATCCAACTTATTGTCGTTACGTAATACAGGAACTATGCAACAAACGGTTTCTCTGGATTTGACCCATCCTAGTGTTTGGACGGAGCAGTGGGCTGCCATTATGTATACGGCGCCCGCGAGCAGTGTAGGGAACAGTGCCTTGCTCAGGGACACCTCTGTACTTGGTCTTTCCGGGAACTGGTGACCTTCCAGTTTCCAAGCCAAGCCTCATATGGACTTCCCCACCACCTTCCTTATGGAGGATAAGAAGTCAAAAAAACAGTTTTGAAGATAATGGAAACATACTCAAAGTAAGAACAACAGTAACATCAAATTAACACTTAAAACTTGATCCACTCTACCATGCTGCACTGCGATATATCAGATGACTGATCATTGCACACTGTAGCCTAACTGGATGGTCCTCACTTACTATGCGTAGGATGCAGCATTGGTTTTTATTAATGTGTAAAGCCATTTTAGGTA